AGAAGATTAATCAGAACTGGCTTTGACAAGCACTGTGGCATTTGGACAAGAACAAACTGGGAGGAGGGTAGAGAGAATAGTGCAACAATGAATTAATGGAAACCCAAAATCTCTGTAAATGTTTATGAAAATTAATAAAATATAATTATAGAAAAAAAAAATAAAACACACACACACAAAAAAAAATAAGTTGTTAACAGTGTCAATTTTTCTCCATCTATCTTGATGTTGTCTATTGGTCCTGTGGTAAAAATTTCTGTTTTTCTTGATGTTGAGATACAATCCATACTGAAGGCTTTATTCTTTGATCTTCTGCAAGAAGTGCTTCAATGTATTACAAATATAATTTCAGTAAGTTTCTATGATAACAAACAATTCATAAAAGACACCAAAAAGAAGTAAAAGGAATTTACACATAATATCAATCACAGTTGAAATCTAACTTTTCTGAAAACTTTCATTAAAATCACAGTTATTAAAAACATGAGTCACAGTTGAAGTGTGAACATAAATAAAATTAAGATGTTTTGGAGAGCTTAACTTTTTGAGCTTAAGCAGAGAGGAGAATTGCTCATACAGGGCAGAATTCAGTTTAGTAAGCTAACAATTTTAACATTCTTGATGGAATAAAAATGTTTCTTTAGGAAGGAACCAGTGGGCAAGTGTCTATATAAAGATGGTAGCAGTCACTCATCACCATCAACTCCATCCTGACTCTTCTGCAGGACAGAAGAGACCTACTCCATAAGGTGTCCAGGGCTGTAATCTTTACAGAAGTAGATGGCCCCATCATTCTCCCAGGAAGCAGCTGATAGGCTTGAACCACCCACCTTTTAGTTAGCAGCCAAGTACTTAATAAATAAGCACTATACCACCAGGGCTCCTTAGGTAATACAAAGTAAGATACAAATAGTTACTTACTAGGAGAAAGGAGGAAAGTGAATCACTGTTTAAGAACTGAATTTCTGTTTATGATGATGGAAAATTTGGTTATCTTTATTATTACAACAATTATTATTCTTTTTGGGAAAAAAGAAATGGTAATTATTAAGTTATTAAAATGTTTACTATTATTATTTCACTGTACCTGGACTTCAGACAGAACTCATTTATTGCTCTGACTCCAGTGATAAAATTATTCTTGGTGTACTTTGGTCCATATTCCCTCTTCTTCAGCACTGCTTTGACTAAAACCAAAAACATAGGAAAATATATCAAATATGCTGATACTTAAGTGGGTTCATTAATGAATTCCACAGAAAGAAAACTCTCCTTTTTTGCTGATGCAGTGAATGATGTCAGGAAAAAATACGTTTCCACTGCAGAACAGGAAAGAGTATCTCTGCAGCCATCTAGCTATTATTCCCATAGTTCATCAGTAACTGAAGCCAAAATGCTAAACTTTTGTCTCCCATGGACATCTTTTAAAGGTACTTTTGTCCTATCTGAATTGAATTAGTATTATTTAAATTGTTTGACATCTAAGTGAAAATGAACTACTATTTCAAGAAAAAATTACAAAGGCTAGATCAGTATTTTACAAATTATAAGGTGAAAGCAGTATCTCATAAAAAATGGAGGGAAAATCAAAGAATAGTATACATAATTAAGAGTTAAGTACTTTCCTGGAAAATGTTTGTTTCGGCTATATATAAATATATAGATCATTACTAAGTAAAATGCATTTTTTACACGGGTTGCCGTCAAAAAGTTTCTAGATTATTTCACATAATGAAAACAAAGCTGAAGTGAACTAAAGAAATTTTTTATATCATCTACTGCAGGTAGAAATGGCAAATGTCCAGACATACTATTTTTATAACTATAAAAAATTACTGAACTTAATTACAGATAACAGATATAGCGCTGTATTCTACTAAATTTTTCTTCTACTGTCAAGTAGCAAGTGAAGGACAGGCAAGCTCCTCTCGTGCAATTTATTGCCTCTGAAAACCTGGAGGGTCAGCTCCAACCTGATGGCACACAACACTTGTTAAGTATCAACTGATAAGCAGTTTGCAAAATGAAAGCCAAAGACACACACAAAAAAAAGTAATTTGGCAAATATCTGAAGAGCAAGAACAGAAACTAGTCCGCTCTATTTCAAATTGTGACTCAGTTGCTACATATTTTATTCTCATAGCTACTAATTCATGGGTTTTCTGTTCTACTTCCAATTTGAAAGAGTATTATAAACCTAAAATTATCTATCACTATTAATCTATACAGTATGGGTAAAAAGACTTAAAATAAATACATAATCAATGAAACCGAAATATAAAATTACCTATAATGAGAACTGCTCAAAAATAAAATTCAATACAAAAATGGAAAACTTATTTTTTTTATACTTTTTAAAAATTTTTTTTTTTACAGAGGTTTTGGATTTCCATTCATTCATTGCTGCAATTTTCTCCCTTCCCACCCCTCCCCACCAGCTCGCTTCCCCCTCCGAAGAGAGAAAAAATAAAAAAAGAAAAAAAATTCCTTCATTAGTATACAATTCCCACGTCCCTTCCCCCACCTC